TTACTATAATAAAAAGTATCCTGTATTATCAGATTTATAAAAATATGGCTCCCCCTAATTAAAAAATCACATTTCATAAATGAAAATGGTAGTACTGTTACCACATTAACCATTGAGATAATGTGGCATTATTGCTTATTTGCATTTCTTTGTCATTTCTCTCCTTTCATCTCTTTATTATAGATACATTTAAATTAAGAAAAGATAGGCAATCAGTCTTACCATGATCATGAACTATTACTGGTTAGCTGGAAGCTAAAATACTAATTTTTTTAACTCCTTACCCAAGTATGTTTGTTAGTTTGAGAGAGTGGGAAACATTGATTGGTTGCCTCTTGTACAGACCCTGACCAGGTGCCAAACCCACAACCTTTTGGCTTATGTGACAATGCTCCAACCAACTGAGCCACCCGGGCAGGACCAAAATATTAACTTTTAGATTTTATTTATTTTTAGAAAGAGGGGAATGGAGGAAGAGAAACATCAGTATGCGGGAGAAAGGTTGCCTCTTACACACCCCCAGCTGGGGACCTGGCCTGCAGCCCAGGCATGTGCCCTGAGTGGGAATCAGACCTTTTGGTTGGCAAGCCGGGATCCAGTCCACTGGGACACACCAACCAGGGCTAAACTACTAACCTTTAAAGTGAACTTGAACTGGCTTATTATAAAACAACGCATGTACTTTGTACTTTTACATATTTTTAGATTTCTTAAATTTGAAGGCAAAGTAAAAGTAATATATGTTCAGTTTGATAAATACGATGTTAGAAATACTGCAGATAAGCTGCAGGAGAAATTAACAGTCACTGCTGGAAAAGAATGACTGTCAGCATTTTGGTAGTTACCATGCTGTTGTATCCCCTGTATGTTTTAAAAAATGAAATTTTACTGTGTATAATTTTGTGATCTCTTTTGTTACTTAATGTATGCTACATTGTGAACATTTTTTCTGTCATGAAAAATTCTTTCACTGCATAGTATTTTATCCCTCATAATACTGTATGGATCTTTTACATGTTTTTCATCTTTTCACTCAGAATTTAAAAATAGGGTAAAGAAAATGTTTTAAGGGTAAAATGAATTTTTATGATGGAATTTACAAAATCATTAGCATTTTTACTAGTTAAAATGTTTAGGCTGTTAAAATGGGGGGAAAGGTGAGGGAATCTTTTGAAATGATCAAGGACTTTGGATCCTTATTTGGCCACAGATTCGGTGGTTTTATGCAATAGCCACTTTGTAACAGCTGCAAAATTTTTAAATCCTGCCATGACTTTAGTGGATTTCAGGCGTGCCTGGCTGACTCTCCGTAGTGGAAGCCATTGATTTAAAGGCCATGTTTGGGCTCCTGTCCCCTCAGACTTGATGCTTCCTCTCATTTCCTTGCTTCTTGGTTTCCCCCAAAATGGTGCAGATCTACAAAAGAGTCCTAACTGGCCAGTGGGTATCTCCTACTCATTTTCCCAAGAAGCAGATACTCCTTGGAATCACCTTTTCCAAGGTGTATGTGTCCAGTTTCCATCTTAGACCCACAAGACTGGGTAGAACCTCTTGGAATGCATTTTGAAAAAACAAACCCAGATCATTCCGATATGCACTCATTTTCAAACTTGCATTCTGACATATCTTGAGGTTCAATATGCAGTTCAGTTGGATACCTGGAAACAAAGACACAAAGGGAAGAGAAGGAGACATCTCATGCTGTCTACAAATTTGTACAGAGACCTTGAGAAATCACCTAATTCTACCCAGCAGTTTACTGCCGAGGCAGCTAAGATCTAACCAGAGAAGTTAATTGACTTTTCCAAGCTTGTAGGAGAGGATGCTAGTTCAGAGCTCAAGATCCAGATTTCGACTTTTTAAACCTCTGCTGCTGTCTTTTGTATTCCTTGGAACATTTTCCTCTTCTTCTTTATGTAGAAATCCAGGACATTTCACTTGTCCCCATACAGGCCATGCATCTAAGGATAATTTTCTTAAATGGTAGAAAATACATGGCAGATTTTTATCCCTAAAAATAATTATTAACCTCTCAGTTTATGACCTTAATTTTGATTAACATAAAACAATCCATGAGATTAATTTTACTTAAAAAATTTTAAGTAAATTAAAACTAGTTTTTTGGTTCTAGATGATAACTTCTAAGGTAACATAACTTTAAATTAGTTTGATTTGAAACAGGGAATTTTGCCTACCAGAGAGAAAATTGAGTTTTACAATAGTACCAGTATGTTTGAGTGTATAAAAACAGAAGTTTTACAAATTGTTCCTTTGGAAAAGCCATGTTATGTTATGTTATGTTGTTATGTTATGGAAATAGGATTTGGTTAATGGTCAGTCTTCTTTTTCATTTATAGTAGTGGTGCTGCTTGAGCCTGAATGCCTGCTGTTGTTTGCTGGGGGTTGGGGGTTAGTGGAAATTCTGAGAGCTTTAACAGCGGCTCTAGGACCTCCATAGTAGAGGGAAGTAGTGCAGAATGTGGCTTAGTGCGCTCACTTGATTTCTCACCTTGGTATCCTAATGTGATAAATGTGGATGATAATAATAGCACTTTCTCATCAGATTATAGTGAGAATTCAATGAGTAGCAAATGCAAGGTGCTTCATGTGGTGCCTATTCACTAACAGAGAGAGAACCCACTTTAACAAAGCGCCCTCTGTGCAATTCATGTTCTGTCAGTCAATCCCCCATTATTTAAATAAAAATTCTTATTCCTGAGGATTTTGGCCAACCAAATAAATTAGAATTGCTGTTGTTTGTAGTATAAATCATAAGTGATCACAGAGAATTCCAGCCTAATAAAACATTCAGGCAAATTTAAAAGCTTTTTAGACTCAGTTTTACTTGTGAATTGCTTAAGACATCTTTAAAGGTATTTTTGTTTTATTTATATATTGTTTTCATAAAAATTTCTCTTGACCTCAAGTTTTACTTTGTTGACATTCCCAAGGATTTTGCCATCTGCCTGAAGTGATCACTTCTGCTTTCTTTTTGTGTTTCTTTTCTTTGGGGTTGTTTGTTTGTTTTTTAAGAAACTGCTTCCTTGACTTTAGTCCTTCTACCCATGTGATGATTATTTCAGCTCCTCCCTCTTCTGAGTTTCCAGTTGCTGACTAGACATCTGTGGTCCTCCCAGGGCGTCTCCACCACTACACATGCAAATGCAGTTATATCACATCTTCATCCCACATCACCTGCTTTTCCTCTGCCTTAGTGAGTGGCATTCGCAAAACCATCCAGCTCGTTATCAGAACCAGACACCCAGAGTCATCCAGGCCTTTTTCCCTCATCCTTCACTTCCAGTTAGCCACGGAGTAATGTCGACTCCGCTTCCGAAATACTTTATGTAGTGTTTCTCCTTTTTCTTTCTACTCTCACTGCCTTAATTAAACTCTCATTTTCTACAGGACTGTTGTTAACAAGCTCCCAGCTGGTCCGTCTGCCTCCCAGTGTGCCCCCCCTTCCCCCACGCTATCCAGTACCATTGCCATAGTGATATTCCTGAAGCCGAAATGGAATGATCTTTGTCACGTGTTTAGAAATTTCTTCTAGCTCCCTGTCGTTGGTATAATAAAGTGCAGCCTCCCTCAGTAGGCCAACAAGACCCATCCCAATCTGGAGATGACTCCTTGTCTAAAGTTTCTCTCCAGCCTCATCTTTTGGCACTTCTCCCCTGCATCCTGCCCTCCATCAGGACAGACCTGCAGCAGTTCTGTGATAGTGTGTTCTCACTCTCCTCTCTGCCGTAGCACCACTTTCCTTTGCCTTAAATGCGACCTTTCTCTTCCTGTTGAATGAAGCCTTCTTTTAAAAATTTTTCTATTTTTTCTGTTTCCAATTTCACTGATTTTTTTCTGTTTGTTTTATTACAATTGTCCCAATTTCCCCCCCTTTGCCCTCCTCTATCCAGCCCACCCCTGGCTCCCACAGTCAGTCCCCACACCATTGTCCACATCCATGGATCATTCATACATATTCTTTAATTAATCCCTTTCCCTTCTTCCTTCTATTCGTCCTCCTTTGGCAGCTGTCAATTCATTTCCTGTTTCCATGTCTCTGGTTTTGTTTTGCTCATTAGCTTATTTTTTCCATTAGATTCTTCTTGTAAGTCAGATCATATGTTATTTGTCTTTCACCAACTGGCTTATTTCACTTAATATAATATTCCCCAGTTCCATCCATCTGTCACAAAAAGTAGGAGTTCTTTCTGCTGCATAGTATTCCATTGTGTAGATGTACCTTCTTGACTACCCTTTCCTCTCCCCCATCACAAGAGCTAATTAGTTCTTCCTTTGTGCTATCAGAGTATTTTTATTCTTATTTTCAGTGTTTTGAAATTCTTCATCTGCTTGTTAGGCTTTCCCCACCTCCAGGTAAAGAGACTCGCCATTTTAGCATTCCCAGTGCCTACCCAGGCCTTGGCAGAGGTAGACATTTGGCAAACAGTATGAAAAGTTGGTCATGAAACTGAAGCTTAGAGGAGGAAGCAATATGCTTATTGGAGTAATGCTTGTTCTGTCAACTGCTTTTTAAATGGCATGTGGGAAAAGGATTAGATTAACTTTGTGTGACTTTAGATGGCGGAGTTAATGTCTGTAGAGACTTCTGGTTCCTCCGCAAAGAACACGGTGAGAACTGAAACACAGCCGTGCTGTCCTGCCCTCCTTTGGAGTTCTGCAGTTAAGACGATTTGTGTTCCAGTCCTGGCTTGGTTACTAATTTGGTTGGTCCGTTCTGGGTCTTATTTTCTTTGTTCTTTTGACAAAAAAGTAGAGACATTGTAACTCATGTGGTTGTTCTGAGGACTAGTGAAACAACCCTTCAGGGTGCCTAGACTAACTCCTGACGTCAGGCAGTCTACATGTTCATTGAATTCCAACTAGTCTTCTGTTTCTGTATACTTTTAGTAAAACCTAATCTCGTATTAAATATAAGTAATGTGTGTATATAAACTGACACCATTAAAAAAGATTTAGTTACCTTTTTTTTCCCTTCAAAGATTTATCCATTGTACTGATGATTCCCCAGATCCTTGTATGGAATATGAGGTAAGAGACTTCAAGAAAATTTTCTCTATCTCAATGAACTTGATAAACCTAGATGAAGAAGTGTTGAGAATTGCTATTCTTAAGTGAAATGAGAATTTTTTTGATTAATTTCTCTGGGAACTTGAGATCATTGATTTTTTAAAATTTATTAAATATACAGATAAAATACGTATTGTCCATATAGAATATATAGAGAAAAATACACATGTATACTATGTAGTACACAGTATGTATGTGTGCAGCTATCTCTCAGTGTCTGTGAGGGATGGTTCCAGGGCTCCCGAGGGTACAAAAACCCAGTTTGAGAAGCCTAGAAAATTTAATTACTCTTAGAGTAATTAAAATGAAAAAAAGTTGCAAGCTGAATCCTGCATATAGTGTGCTCCTGTCTGTGTGTATTAAAAGATATATGTATATACACTATCTGCTCATGTATTCATAGAATACTTCTGGAAAGATATATGAGAAATTGACAGCACCACTTTGCCTTTGAGAAGGACAAAGGGATTAAATGGGAAAGATTCACCTTTTATCCTTTTTTTTTTTTGTCAACCACAAATGTATGTAGTACCTGTCTAAAACATTATTGCAATAAAGATGATGCAAATTTTCTACAGATTTAATATTATTATGCAATAATTGCTCATTTATTTTTTGCTTAAATAAAAATAACTATGGCCATCAAAATACTATATGCCAGTATCAGCTTTTAATAGATAATAACAGTTTAATATTTTTGCTTAGAGTGTTTTATGTAATAATTAGGTTCTTTTAAAATTTTGACACATGCAAAGCTTGACCAAGAATACACAGTGCTGAAAATTTAAATCAGTGTATTTTAAATTTCTAAGGCATATTTTAGCCATACAGTTTCAGAAAAGCAAGTTATTATCAAAAATATAAAGTATAAGAAAATATGAACATACTACCGAGATAACTCAGTATTAGTCTTCGGGTATTTAACTCCCTATTCATGGTGGGGGTGTGTGTGTACACCTTCACAAAGCTGTTTGCATACTGTTTTTTTCCCACTGATAGCATAGTGTGAGCACTTCCCCAGTTCATCGAGCATTATTTTATATCATACTTTTAGTGGCTATTTTATATGTTCACTGTCTTATTTGACAAACATTTCTTAAGCACCTTTCATGTATTACATAACTGTGCTGAAACACAGAGATGAATTGTTTCTTACTCTTAGGGAGGTTACTTTTTAGTAGGGATGAGATACTTACATCAAATTATCATGGTACAACATGATCTATATGTGCTTGTTATAAAATGTCACGCCCAGGAAACTATGGGAAGCACAGGATGTGGGCAGGGAGGATCCTGAGCCCACAGCGGGATTTAGAATGGTGCCTGGAGTAATTCAAGTTCTATCTCACGGGCTTGAAGGGCAGAGAGTGGTACTCCAAGACTGGAGAGGCTGGAGACACTAGCCATCTCTTACAGCTAACACTTCAAAAAACCAATTTAAAAGCACACTCAGAAGCATACATTTGCCAACTTTTCTATTTGTAAAATTGCACGCAATTTAATAATATGTGAATAGTATACTAAGTAATTAATTTCAATATGAAGAACCATTTATGACTTGGACCATCAAGAGGATTGATTTATTTAAAAATGGCAATATCATGTAAGAGTTATAGTGATTCTTTACAATAAGCCATAACAATAATTTTATCAGAGTACATATTACAGAATGGTGCTTAAAGTAGTTCATTTGAAATCATTGTATTTTTTATATACTTTAAGGAGTAAAGAACTGAATTACAGGACAACGTATGGCACAGCAGTGATAAGAGTGGACTTTGTCGTGCTCGGGGACCTGTATTATGTCAGACCTCTCTACATGATAAAAACGACCGAGATGCATTTTGTCATAGTTTAACACATTTTCTCCTATTTATTAGACTAATAAATCACAACTGTATTTCTTTTTCTCACATCATTTTCTAATGCCTCCTTTTTTTTTTTTTTAATATTTTATTATTTATTTATCTTTAGAGGGGAAGTGGGGGAAGGAGAGAGGGAGAGAAACATCAATGTATGGTTGCCTTTTGTGCGTCCCCTGCTGGGAACTGGCCTGCAGGGAACCGGCCTGCAACCCAGGCATGTGCCCTGACTGGGAATCGAACCGCGATCGTGTGGTTCGCAGGCCCGCGCTCAATCCACTGAGCTACACCAGCCAGGGCCTAATGCCTCCTTTTTATTTTTATTTTTATTTTTATTTTTTATTTTTTCACACTGTACAACCCCCTTCAGTGCTCACAGACCGGAGAAGGAGGCTGGGCAGTGGTTCGAGGCTGCAGTTTACTCTGGCATGGGTTATCTAATGCCTCCTTTTTTAGAAAAAGTAATAATGGCAATTGTTAACACATAATCTGGGCATAAAATTGTTTATTACACTAAGTAAGCATCCCCTTGATAGATAGTTGTGTAACTTTTTCTTCTGCTACAGCTTGTTCTTCGAAAATGGTGTGAATTAATTCCTGGGGCTGAGTTCCGATGTTTTGTCAAGGAAAACAAGCTCATTGGTGAGTTCTTTTACTGTCAAAAGTTATTGTTAAAAGAAGACAAACTTTTAGTGGAAGGAAATTTCTAGTAATTAGGACAGGGGTAACAGTCAGTTTCTCCCTTAGACTTTTCCTCTGAGCAGGTGGTACTGACCCTCTGGAAGGCTAGATTGAGAAGGACCATGGGACCGGATTCAGTCTCCCATGGACAAGAACATGGTCTTGTCCATTCATCGTGCCCGCCCGGATTCTGGAGGTGAAAGTGAGGGTCTTCATCCTTCCCAGTTCTGGATATGTCTGATACTACCCATTTCCTCTTTGGGGCTTTCCTAAGATTACTAGTTGTACACTGCTTATTTTAAGCATCATAAAAAGCCAAGTTTTTAAACCTTTATTTTCTATTATTGGAACACTTTATTATTTTAGCCAGAGAAATATGCGCACAAATAAGTGCATTACTTTAAAGCCACCCATTTTCGTTTTTCTTGGGTTATTTTGTTCACTATGGTTGATTCAAGTTAAATATTGAAGATAACTTGCTTTTTTTGTCTCTGCACATTTTCCATGAGCTAAAATTGATTTTCAAACAAAAAAAAAGTGTGATTTGAACAGAATCAAATCAACACTACTTATTTATTCAGTGTGATGTTGATATTTATTAGCTTACCTAAAAGAAACTTGGGGTGTTTAAATTTATCATGTTGTTAGACATTTCTGAAAAAGCTGCACTTTAAGTACAGTTAAAGAGGGGAACATATTTGTACGTGATTACGAAACTGGTAATGATTTCACCTTTAACAGGAACCTAAACAACAAAACAAACAAACAAGCAAAATATAACCAAAGACACTGAAATAGAGAACAGACTGACCAGAGGGGAGAGGCAAGGATATTTCAGGGGAAAAGGGGAAGGGTTTACAGGAACAAGTATAAAGGACACATGGACAAAAACTGGGGTGGGGTGTGGAAATGGGAGGGAGGTGGGGAGGGCTGGGGGGGTTGGCTGGGATGGGAGTAAAAGACAGAAAACTGTACTTGAACAATTAAATTTTAAAAAAAAAGAAAGAAATTGGGCCCTGACTGGTGTAGCTCAGTGGATTGAGCCACAGGCCTGCGAACCAGATGATCACGGTTCGATTCCCAGTCAGGGCACATGCCTGGGTTGCAGGCCAGTTCCCAGCAGGGGACCCACGAGATGCAACCGTACATTGATGTTTCTCTTCATCTCTCCTTCTCTTCCCCTCTAAAAATAAATAAATAAAATTTTCAAAAAAAAAAAGAAGTTGGGTGGAAGCCTTTCTTTGAGAACAGAGAGCTTGCTCCTAGGCCTAGAGCAAATTGAGAGAGTTCCTGCAATAGTCTCTTTAGTTGTTTATTTGGAGTAATATCAGCAAATCACTCTGAAGAAAGGTATGTTTACTTTTCCACGGTTTGAAACATCAGGCTTAGGAAGGCAAGGTAGCGCATATAAAACAAGAAAACTAGACTGCTTCTGAGACACACTATGCATATTGAAGACATATGGCAAGGAGTATTTTATATTGTCCCAAAGAAAATGCAAAAGAATGCCAATTTGATGTAGAGTTTATTGAAAAAAATTGAAGGAAGCAATGACTATGTATGCAGGTTTAAAATTGGCTCTTTTGGGTTTTTTTTGACATAATAGGCATTTTTTAATGATTTTGAATTCTTTCCATAATATTAAATAAAAATAACTATTATTTGTAAAGTAACAATGCATGGCTAGATGGAAATTTAGGACTCACCTATCCATATGAACCTTTACAACTAATATTCCTCTCTTAGATGCTGAATAATGTATCATTCAATCAATGTTCATCTAATTGGTGTTCTGATCTACCTTAGTGGTTCTCAAGAAGAGTTTTAAATCACTTGTGATGTTTTTGAAAAGGATATTATGTAATAACAATATAAAATATTTTCTTGTCAGCTATTTCTCAGAGGGACTACACACAATACTATGATCATATTTCCAAACAAAAGGAAGAGATTTGCAGATGCATACAAGACTTCTTCAAGAAACACATACAGTATAAATTCTTAGATGAAGACTGTGAGTATTTTTTATTGACTCAGTGAAATGAAATACATAATATTAATGAACCTTATTTCACAGCAGCACATACTTTAAAATGATTTGAGACTATTTTAAGCATTTACTATATTGGTGCTATGGATGGTTTGCATAATAATTTTCCCTTGTTTAATTAGAGTCCCTTTTTAATACTGAGGCAGTTTTTTGTTCAGTATTTTAGTATATATTTCAAAGGGTCTATATATACAGAGGTCAAAATACTTATGTTATTAGGACTAAAGGAGCTAAATGACTGATCTGTCTTTCTAGATTTTTTTATTTGAGTGATTAAATAGCAACAGTTATATAGTATAAACATTTGTGAGCTGTTTTTATGAATTGAAAGTAGTATTGTATATGAGAGTTTGTACACATGTTAAAATTATATCTGTCATAATTTACCTTTTTGCTACTTGCCAAGCGTGGTTCTGCGGGAGATTTGATTTTTAAAAAAGATTAGTCATGCCATAAGCATTGCCAGCTGGATTTTATGCTTTCCCACCACAAATTTTACTCATTGTATTCCCCACTCCCAGTGATTGATACTTTACTAGTACATGGAGCCTTCTTATAATCGTGAACTAGTTGAGATGATTTCAGTGTTTGGTTTGAGTTTTTAAATAAAAGGGATTATGGCTGAGGGTAGAGAAAGGGAAAGCAAAATTATATAAATAAAACAATGCAGCATTCCTTTTCATGTTTGACGTTTTGAGATTTAGATGTATGAAGTCCTCTAGGTCAATTATATTCTGTTGGAGTAAGTAATAATAAAGTGCATTTTAATTTTCAAAAGGAGGTTTAGATCATGAAAATAGTAGTTTGTTATTAACTTGGAGTTTTTTTTTCTTTTTTACAGTTGTATTTGATATATATAGAGACAGTAGGGTAAGTAAAAGCTGTGTTTGATTATGCCTTAAAATCAGGGCTGACCTTAGAAGTGGACTACATAGCCATTATGTATGTAAAGGGCCCACTGCTCAAAAAATATTTTCCCTTAACTAAGGAATTTGAAATTGATGATGGTCAAGAATTTCCCCTTAAAATATACTTAACATGAGGAGATATAATATCTTTACTAATTACCTACTACAAGTTTAATTTTTTAAAATTTATTAGAGTTCACATACAATATTATGTTAGTTTTAGGTATATAACAAAGTGATTAGACATAGTACCCATCTGACACCGTACGTGGTTAACCACAATGTTATTGACTGTATTCCCTATCGTGTACTTTACGTTCCCATGACTGTTTTTAAATCTGACAGTGTGCACGTCTAAATCCCTTTCATCCTTTCACCCATACCCCCAACACACCACTATCTGGCAACCATCAATTTGTTCTCTGTATCTATGAATTTGTTTTTGTTCTCTTTGTTCACTTATTCTATTTAAGTGAAATCATGGGGTATTCATCTTTCTCTGTCTGACTTATTTCACTTAACATAATACCGTTCAAGTCCATCCATGTTGTGGCAAATAGTAAGATTCCATTCTTTTTCACGGCCAAGTAATAGTCGTGTGTGTGACATCTTTTTTATCCAGTTATCCATTGATGAGTACTTAGGTTCCTTTCATATCTTGGCTATTATGAATAATGCTGCAATGAACAGGGATGCATATGTCTTTTCAAATTACTGTTTTGGGTTTCTTTACATAAATACCCAGAAGTAGAATTGCTGGGTCATAAGACAGTTTCATTTTTAATTTTTCGAGGACCCTCCATACTGTTTTTCGTAGAGGCTGTACCAATTTCCAATCCCATCAACAGTGCACCAGGGTTCCCTTTTTTCCACATCCTCTCCAACACTTGTCGTTTGTTGATTTGTTGATTCAGACAGGTGTGAGGTGGTATCTCTTTGAGGTTTTCATTTGCATTTTAGGCATTATTAATTTAACAGATAGCTAAATGGTCACCTTATACTGTACTTGACTCTTTTTTCAGGAGTCTGGGCCTGCTTAAATTAATTCAGTTTGCACACTTAAATGTAGCCAGGAATTTGTCACTTGATATTTAGATAATTAGGTGAACTAAAAGATCCTTAGCATGATTTGAGTCACTTTTATCTTTAGACTTAAGATGAGGATTACAGTAGTTTATATTTATTTTTTTAATTTTAAAAATGATGGTAACTTCTATAATGAAAAACAAAACAAAAAGCCTCACTTACAGCCCTGGCTGGTGTAGCTCAGTGAATTGAAGCATGGGCCTGCGAACCAGACAATCGCGGTTCGATTCCCAGTCAGGGCACATGCCTGGGTTGCAGGCTGGTTTCCTGCAGGCCAGTTCCCGGCAGGGGACGCACGAAAGTCAACCGTACATTGCTGTTTCTCTCCCTCTCTCCTTCCCCCCTTCCCCTCTAAAGATAAATAAATAAAAAAATATTTTTAAAAAAAAGCCTCACTTAGTCCTACAGCAGAGAGTTCACTATCAAGACATGCATCCTTTTCCAAAGAAATGTGGGTCACCGAACGTCTCGTGATTAGTGCTTACTTACTTGGATGTTAGGAAGAAAGCAGGTGTGTTTTCTAAATATTTTGTGGCCCATATGTTACCAGATGTTACCTACCTCTCATTCCATCAGCCTCATTGGAGCGATGCTTGTGATACCTTTAAATCATTCTTTGGATAAAAGATTTGGCCCATACATATGGTCATGTCTTTAAATAACTGTTAACTGTTTATTTACCATTGTTAAGCCAAAAGATATCACTTGCTGTTTTCACCTTTCTGCCTTCAAAGGTGAGGTACCTATTAAGGATCAGAAAGAGGAGTTATAAATTGAGATTTGGTAAACAAGAGGGATGTTTCCTGGCAGAATTTTAACTTTATTGGAAGCAAACCTTAGAAAAAGGATGGGAAGCCGGCACGATGGAATGGATTGAAACCTAAACTGATAGAAGCCCAGGGCTCTTGTCCCTGCTCCACTTTGAACAGATGGATGCTGGTGACATGCAAGCATTCAGGTGGCCAGTGTCTATCGAGAGCCAGTGATGTATTAGAAGCCATTATTCTTACAAGAAGATTCCAACTAGATGATTTCCTGACCTCAGGGAGCTTTAACCTTAGAGACTTGAAACCCACGCAGTGGGTATGGTAGTAAACTTGGTCAAATCACTTAGTAGACCTAGCCCTTTGCCCTGAATGTGCAGGTCACGGTAGCTTTATTCTCATTTAATTCAGTATCTGGCTTAGTTCATATATCCCTGCAAGGTGTGTATTATTTGTTCCTGTTTTACAGATATTAAAACTGAAGCAATTATATGTTAATGCAGCTATGTTCATGGCATTTGAAAATTTGGGATTTGCCAGTCTCTAAGTATTTCCCTGGCATATGTCCAGGTCTGCAAATGTCTTAGTTGAAGTTGGAGATGTGCACAAGTAATTAATGCTATGATCTCACACAACTGAAAGTTGCCGTGTTTTTAAAGTGAGAAGCATGCCAGTATAAACACCTTGACAGTTTCTGAGAAGAGATTTAAACCATGATGAAACACTCATTTGCATTCAGTCAGTGGCACTTGTATCACTGTTCGTTAGGCACTTTCTTGAATAGCTAATTTTATGACTCTTCACTCTTATGTGGTCTCTTATATGAAATACACTACAGTGTGTGGGCTGGGCAAAATTTTGATGTGTCTACTTTCTTACCGCTGCTGGCAAGTTGACTCAGTGCTGATACCCCCAGTGCTGGTAGATTCTAATGTTATCTCTGTAAAGCGACGGCCCACCCCATTCAGTAGGTCTGGGATGAGGCCTGGACTGTGTATTGTAAGATGCTCCTTAAGTGATGCTGATGCACCACTAGAATTGAGAGTAACTGCCTTAGATACTTGAAAAATGATTCTGGTCCCCTTATGTTACTATTTTGTTACTGTGTCAGATCTTGAGTCTTTAATGTTGTTGAGATTGGCTTTGCAGCTTGGTCACTTTTTTAAATAACTGTTCTGTGTGTAATTTAAAAGAAAATACAATTTCTTATGTGTCAGGTATTGTGCAGTTGTTTGTTCTGTTAAGCTTAATAATGTTAAAATCTTCGGTATCTTAGGAATGAAATGATGTCTGAAGATACCTTCAAAATAATACAAATTTGAGGGGATGGTGGGGTACAGATGAAACAAGACTGGCCATGGGGACCAGCAGGGCCCCTGTGAGGGCCGAGTGTTCCCGAATGTTGTCTACTTTTGTATACATTTAACCTTTTGTGTATATAATTTAAAAAAAAAAAACTTGAACACCACGAAAAACTCTATATCTTTCTTAAGATACAGAATTTCTTTCTTTTCTTTTTTGGTCTACTTACAGAACAGGGTTTGTTAGCATCTCTGCTCTCTAGTTGTGTCAGGTTCTGTGTACGGGCTTTGAGGTCCGGTTCCTCCCCAGATGCAGTTCCCAGTGACTTTGCTCTCCCGCTGCCCTCTCGTCCCGCCGCCCTCTCGTCACCAGGCAGTGGCTCCCTCTCCCTAGTTATGTGTCGTGCTTTTGGCGTTGGAGTACGGTGTGCTGTGATATTGATTGTGTTATTACAGGTTTCTTTTCGTCTTAGAATTTGTCTTTTTCTGTCCTTTTTAACTGTTAGGTTTTAGGTGTGTGCATAAGTCTTACAAGTATTAGTGTATTGCTGGTTTTGTGTTTTTAATCATTGACAATTTTGGTTTTAACTGGTAAGTGTTGTTTGCATTTACCAAATCTGATTTTGACTGTTTTCCACCATCTTATCTTGAGTTCTCAATTTGCTTTGCTTTTCGATGCCTTTTTTTCTTCTTCTAATTTGTATTACTGGTTTTTCTTTATTATTCCTCCTTCCCCCACCCTAGTAATTTTGAAGTTTTGTTTTTTATTTATGTTAATTTGGGTAGTTACCATTAAATCTTAGTGTGGATAGTTAATAAGCTCTGAAATCAGTTTCACTTCCTGTCATCCCAGCATCCACTTTTCTTTTTAATCCTTACCTGAGCATTGTTTTTTTAAGTTGATTTTAGATAGTGAGATAGAGAGACACTGTTGTGAGAGGAAGACATTGATTGGTTGCCTCCTATATGTGCCCTGACTGGGGCTCAAACCCACAACTGAAGTGTGTGCCCTGACCAGGAATCGAACCCACAACTTTTTGGTGAATGGGATGACACTCCAACCAGCTGAGCCATCCAGCCAGGGCCCCAACATCCACTTTTGTCTTACATATGATTTCTGATATTTAGTTCTACTTTGTGTCTATACCCTTAAATTAGTCGTGATTGTTGCTGTTTAGTTTCTTTGCTTACCACTGCGTCTTGCCTCTCACTGCTTCCTGGATCCAGTTCTTCCTAATACTATATTCTTTCTAGTAAATTCCCTCAGCCCTTGGCTGGAAAAGCTTTTGTTTACCTTCATGCGTGATGGCAGTTCCAGCTGTTTATAGAATTTTCAGTTGCCAGTTCTGCTGCCTCCGCACTTTGAAGACACTGTTCCATTGTTAACTTGGTTTCTTTTCTTTTGCGGGGGAAGGGGAGTTATGCTTTCTAGGTCTAATAATTCATTTCCTTTGTCAATTGTGGAGAATTCTTAGCTGTCTTTTCAAGAATTGTCTCTTTTCTGTCTTTTGGCCTTTGGAACTCTACAGGTAGGTTTGTTAGAGCTCACTTGATCCTCATGTCTCTTGACTTGTCATTTTCTATCTCTTCCTCTCTCACTACTGTGTTGTATAATTTTCTCAGATATGGTTCCAGTTTATTGGTTCTCTTTCAGCTAAGCCTGATCTGATATGTTTAGCCTATCACTAAGTTTTAAACTGTATCCACTATCATTTTCATTTCTGTAGGTTCTATTTGGTTACTTTTCAGATCTACTGGTTTTTATAATAGTGTCCTGTGTTTTAGGGTTTTGATTTCTTTTATACTTTCAATCATTTAAACCTGCTGACTTATTTGCTTACATTTTTGAGGTATAATTTACAAAGAGTTGAAATTATCCTTTTAGTGTATAGTTCTGTGAGTCCGAAAACCACATGTAGTTATGTGACCACTATTATAGTGTTGTCACGGAACTAATTCAAGTCATTGCAATTTCTCGTGACCTTCCCTGCACCCTAGCCCCTGTCAGGCACTGCTCTGTAAACCTGCTAAGTTACTTTTAAGTTTATAATTGGTAATACCTTCATACTGCTTAAAAATCAAATCATTGTGAAAATACACATAGAAATCCCTACCGTCTGCTGTCCTGCAGGTTCACTTTGTATTAGTTTCTTACATATCCTTCTAGTATTTCTTGATGCAGAAACAAGCAATGTACTTATTTTGTCCATTTTTCTTACATAGAGTTAGCACACGACTCTATGTCTGCACCTTGCTTTTAAAAATATTTTTAAAAAACAAGGTATCTTGGGGAGCTTTCTGATTTCTTCCAGTGTCACAGTGCTTGTTCTGTGGATACACAGTATAGTTCATGTAGCTGCTTCCCTATGTATCAACACAAGTTTCTAGTCTTTTACAAATTGCGCTGTGGAGAACGTCCCACATACACGTTGTTGCATACGTGTGCAAGTACATGTGCAGAATAAATTCCCAGAAGTGGGATTGCTAGCTCGAAAGGCTCGATGCTTTTAATTTTGGTATGTATTGTAGCTTCCCCTCTGTGACAGTTATACCACATAACCCCGACCGGGACTGCCCCTGGGCGTTTCCACAGAGCCTGCCAACAGAGTGTACGGTTAAACTTTCTAGGGCTTTTGTTGTTTGGGTAGATGAAAACTGGTGTTTCAGTATAGTTTCAGTTTTTATTCTATGAGTGAGAATGCATTTTATCTCTTCATATACATAAAGGTAATTTCTGTGAACTCTTCATGTCTTTTCCATTTTCTTCATCGTCTTATTTTCCTTCAAAATCTAGGAAAATAGAGATTAGGCCTTGGCATCATCCCACTTTATTATTTTTTTGCCATGAAGATCAAATATATTATTTCTTTTATGACTTCTGAATTTGAGTCATAATTTTATAAAATACCACTTCATTTTTTTCAAGTTTTTTTAATGACTTTTTGCTTATATATACATTGAAATCTTTGATCTGCATGGCCTTTGTCCTAGTATGTATTATGGATTCAACTTTTTCTGGATTTTTATCCATTTGTCCCAACACCAATATCTTTTCCTTTATATTGTCCTTCAGTTTGATGATGATTTTCCTCAGTTCTTGGCACTTTAACCCCTGATTGTTCAATTTGCATATTTTCATTCATGTGGATTATTTCCTTTTGGTTTTGCAAATCAGTCTGTTTATCTTACTGTTAGTTCATCTTTGGTGAGCTTGTTTTGTTTTTATTTGTGGGAATCCCAAAGATTCTAAGTTTCAAATCTTTCATTTGCTTCTTCCATGTTTCCCAAACTCCAGTCAGAGAAAGACAAGCTTCACTGTCTCCTTTTCTAGTCGTGGGAGCTTCCTCTTTTACCCCTTTTCCTGAGGAGGCAGCCCTTTGGAGTTCAGACGCTTGGTCGGAGGGGCTTCCCACGGCCAGGCCCCTGTTCTGTATGCGTGGTCAACCCTGCTTGAGGTTCCTGGAAGGAAAACTCACCTTGCTGTGCTTATTTCTGGTTTTAGGTTCCCCCTCAAGTGTGGCTTCTGGAATCCCCTTTCTCGTAATCTCATTTACACATGTAAATGGATTATTCTAACCTGAATTTCATCCGGTTTGGAACAGGTGGCCTTTGGAGTTCCCTTAGCCCACTGTATTCCATATTGTACACTCTAGATCCTCTGGAGTGGGCTGTCTTCCCATGGCCTGCACCCGTTAGTTTTTCTTGTTACTGTTGTTGTTCTCCCTGGAATGGGCTGCTTTCCTCCCACCATCTACCTTCCTCCCACACCATCACTGTCATCTTCAAATTCCAAGTTGCTTTGGGGAGCTTTCCACCTTCACAATGCGGGTTTAGGTAGGTTCTCATTGTATTCTATAAGAGCCCCACAATATCCTGTTCTTATCTTTATTGGGCCATCTCCGCCGTGAACTGAGACTGTTGGGTGGTTTTTGTTTCTCTTCTTTGGTGCGTGTATATGTGCATGTGTGCACACTCCTGGCACAGTGTCTGGTGCATAGAGATTTGGGCGGGTGGGGCTGGTCAGCTGGTAGGCTTCAGGGAGGCCAGTGGGTGGGTCTTAGCTGATGGATCGTCTAAAAATAGAATTTCTCAGGATGTTTCCTGTCTGAAATGTCACGTGAAGACCATGATAGAAAATCCTCATCTTGATAGTTTTATGCCTGGTTACAGCCTGTTTTACTTTTCTTTGGAGGATGGCTTCTGAACTGTAGAACAGGCTCTACCAGTTACTAGTTCTAAAAGTAATGACCTATTTTTTGCTTTTTTACAATATGAGATATTTTTAGTTTCTAGAACTTAATATTCCTATACGGACAGGCCCAGTAGTGTTTTTTTTTTTAATAATGAGAAGGTTTTACTGGTTATAAAAGTCAAGTGTGAAAAGGGCATGGATGTTAGAAAATGCCCATTTTGTTAAAACAGCATATAGCATATCAAAGACATCTTAGTAATTGCCACAGAAGCAACGCTGACGTTATACCGGGAAGCTGGTGGCCTCTGTTACTTCATGTAGTCACAGATGGTACAAGTGGGTGACAAGTTGATTTGAGGACACCACTCAATTGGCATGAAAAACTAGTAAGACTTCTCCTGGGGATTGTATAAAATGAGAAACTCACCCAAACCTTGTGTGGGGCGAACTTCCGGTAATGGTTCTTTGCCTCTTACCAGATGTTTCTGACGTTGGAAGCAAGTTCTAATAAGGTATTTCTTAAAATCTTTTTTTTAAAAAGATTTTATTTATTTATCTTTAGAGGGGAAGGTAAGGAGAGAAGGAGAGAAATAATCAGTGTATGGTTGCCTCTCGTGCGTCCCCTGCTGGGAATTGGCCTGCAACCCAGGCATGTGCCCTGACCGGGAATTGAACTACGATATTTTGGTTCACAGGCCCGAGTCTTAAAATCTTTTAATCCAGACTAGACATTGGTAATGGTGGCTTGGCAATCTAGTTCCTTAGTCTTTGTAATTTTACACACGCATGTCTGATCGAGATGTTGTTAGTACATATTTGCAGAAAAGCCTAATTATCAACAAGATGGTACAGTGATGTGTTTCAGTGAGAAAAAGCAAGAGGAGCGACGATGAAAGCTTGAGGAAACACGTACCTACTGAATGCCGTGTGTCTCTGAGGTCTTCTGTTGGCTTTACTCTCTCGGCAGGATTTCAGATCCCCAGCTCGAACGTCAGTGCGCTGCCCCTTTGTCCTAAGATGCCTCTGACTCTGACTTAACTCAGTCTGACCAGCTCATAAGGACTTTTGCCCTGAGCCTGGAACTATCTGTCATTGCCCACCTCTACTCTCGGAGTAGCAGAAGGCTGAAATTTCTTTTAAAGGTTGATACGTGTTTTTATCTCTCCTTTTTATGTGCTATCAAGCTCTAACATAAAGACAAACAAATTTTACATTGAAGTGAAAGAAAACAAAGCATTTCCATACTTCTTTCTTCATGCTTCAAAAAAAGGAACGCATGCCTTGCAGTGGCAGTGTCTCGGGGGTAAGGGATGGTGCTCTAGCACTTCTTCCTGCCTTTGCAAGGCCAAGATAATCTTGAAAGATCATCAGAGACCCCCACCCCCTTTCCCACCAAAGCATTTCAGTCATTCTCAGTTTAACCTTTTGGGAGATTTTCCTTTTTCCTGGTTGGATTTTTGACTTAAAATTGTGACGTCATCTGAGGCAGGAGTCGAACTACGACTTGGTCAGGCTTTTATTCTCTAGGTCTCTTCCCTGCCTTTGTGCATTTACAGGTGATCTCTTTAGCTAAGGCTGTGCCGCTTGGTTTACACAGGTGGCCCTTTTTCGATGGAACCTGGCAGACCTTCTCCTGTGGGATCTGGAGGAATTAACTATCTTTTAAAATGTTACTGGGGACCTGGCCCACAACCCAAGCAGGTGCCCTGATTGAGAAGTGAACCAGTGACCCTTTGGTTCTCAGACTGGCACTCAGTCCACACAGCCACACCGGCCAGGGATGAAATGTTATATAAGATTTTTAAAGACTGTCTTTTGGGGTAAAATAACATGAAAATGATCTTTCTTTTTCTTATAAAACAGATTATAGAATTTCAACATTTGTTTTTATTATGTGCCTGTTAATTTGTCTCTCTGTCCTGCAGGGGAAAGTGTGGCTAATTGATTTTAATCCATTTGGTGAAGTAACAGATTCACTGCTATTTACTTGGGAAGAACTGATATCTGAACGAAACTTAAAAGGTGATTTTAGTGAAGGAGATGCTCTGGAGCAGGTAAGATGGTTTAAAAAAAAAAGACATAAAGGAAACCTTGTTATCCCCTCAGTGGTTGCTAGTTCTCTAGGCACTTGGATCGGCAGTAACTTGTACCCTCGGGAAGTTCAGAGTATAGCAAACTCACTAATAGAGTTTTGCCTGTGGAGGTGAGCAAAAAAGTATGTGCATGGTGATTTATTCATTTAACTACTTATAAAGAAATAATGGTCATCTGATACATATTTTCTGGTAATTTTTTTTCCTGGTTCCTTGTGTTCTGCCCACCCGGGAGAGTCTTGACGCTGGGTGGGTCAGTTCTCACGTCTGTTTATTCCGATCATAAGCCCTGGGCTGCTGACAGTGAGGGGGGGAATGACCCAGATGTTCAGGTGAGGGTCTCCTCAGTCATGACCCCCACTCGTTCCTGCCCTTGTTGGTTGCCTCTCGCGCGTCAGCACGAGAGACAGCATCTTGTCTCTCTCATCCTCGTGGCCATTTCACTCCTTTTTGCATGGCTCAGATCCCCTCTGTTCCTTCTCTTCTCAACAGAGATTTCACATTCTTCTTTACAGGAAAAGATAGTCCCAATGGTGAGAATTTATTCTGTCTCATTGTCGTCAAACCTCCAGATTTGTCTGCAGCTGTCTGGAGTCTCACCTCCACCTGCCCAGCAAACCACCCCTTCCCATCTCACCTCGTGCTGTCATTTATGTTCCTTCCTGTTTTCCCCCCATCTCTTTCTTTCTACCAACTCTTATCTCTCAGTAGTTAACCGTCTTTAGGTATTTCCCATCTGAAAAAGACAGAATCTTTAAGCCCATATCTTCATCCAGCTACTCTCTCCTTTCTCATGTTCACAGCCAAACTTTCTTTCAACATGAACTTTGTAGAGCTTTGTTCTGCCTATAAAAGTACCGCATGCTCACTTTCAAAGAAAATTCTAAAATTGCCCATAATCCTACTGCCTTGAGAGCCATTGCTTATATTTTAATAGTAACATGCCTTTCCACATACAAATAAACTGTTTCAATAAATGAGATTATATTACATTTGAACTTATATATTCCACGTTTTTCATTTAGTAATATCTTGTGAATGTTTTACATCATTTTAAAAACAGCTTTTTAAAAACATGGTCACTTAAAAACAGAGAATTAGAGGCAAGACTGGAAATTTTGCCACCTCGAAATAGTCATTCTTTCCACTTGAGTTAATATTTTTTTCAGACTTCTTTTTGTGTGGATACGCCACACATTTTCACCTAAGTGGGATCATGCTAGTTTCCCTCGTGCTGTTACGTAGCTTGCCTTTTTCTAACTGCTTAGCAGTTTTCTACCGTCACGTGGTCAGTTGTCTGTCCTCGCGGCCTGCTGCTTCTCACCCGGCTCACCCGACGCTCCTCAGCCCTCTTAACCGCAGTCCCACGCAAATGGCTCTTGGCAAGGGCTCCCTGGCTTGTTGCTAATTCCAGTGAATGAGGTGCCCTTCTCTCACTCAACCGCTTGGCACCATTTGAACGTGTTACTTTCTTGTTCTTACGACACCTCTTCCCTCGGCTTCTGTGGCACATGCTCCCCTCCTGGGCTTCTTCCTGCCCTGCTGGCTGCTGTCTGGCCTTCGGTGCCACCGTCTTTCCTATTGTGCATCTCTGAAATATTTGTTTTCGTCATTACTCTGTCCTAGGCCCTTTCTGGCCCTGTTTTTCTAGATCTGACTCTGGTTGGTGTTTTCCCTCTCGTGGTGCTTGCGCACTGTGTGGTGCCTGCCTGTCTTGCCGTAGACTACAGGCTTCTGAGCCCAGGAGTAGGGCCTCTTGTTCTCCTGCCGGGCACAACTCATGTGTGTCAATGTAGTGAGAGAAGGAATCTTACCCCTGTGGGTACCTCACGGCTGTGGGCTGTTAAATCTGAGTGTCAAAGAGAAGAATGTAAATATGAGGGACACAGTGAATAGATTCAATCTTTGACCCAACTAATAGGATAAGTGTTTCCTATTTTCTTTCTCTTTTTTCCCTTCTTTCTTTCTTCTTAATTTAAGCAACATTTTGTTGGAAGTTGGGGCCAATTGGGGAAACAGGAGCTGGCTCCTACCTTTTCCATGCATAGAAACCTCTGCCTGTTTCCACACACAGAAACCTGGCCGTTCTTCTGTTTCTTGAAGCCCAAAGCCCTGCCTCACCTTAGCATCTCTGCACAAGTTGTTCCATGGCCTCCAAAGCCATTTTCTGCTGCCAGACCTCACGAGGCTGCTTTTATCCACTGTCCAGCTCCCAGTCCTGACGTCTCTTCTTTAGCAAGGTTTTACCTGACTGCCTCTCTGAAGCTGCCTACCTGGTTCTCCTCTTTTCATAGCAGCCTGATTTTTTGTTTTTATAACACTCGTTACTATCTGAAATAGTCTTGTTGTTGGTTTGCTTGCTTATTGGCTGTCAACTTGTCTCATTTATCAGTTTATCTCCCACACCTAGAGAAGGGTGGATGGAGACATTTGTCCCTTAGCTAGATAGCTGTCACCCATGAAGTCCAAACCCAAGGTCTTCTGTCTCCAAAATCCTTTTTAGCACAAGGCAGTATGTAAATATTCCATGCAGTCTCCAAACAAGTACAGTTGACCCTCAAACAATGTGGGTTTGAACTGCATGCACCCATTTATTCTTGGGTATTTTTGCAGTTGATCCATGCAGTTAAACCCCACATTGCCTGAGCTCTGTGGTTGGAATCTGCATTTGCTGAGAGCAACCCCAGCTAGAGGAGGATTTTCAGCAGCTCGGGAGGTCGGTGCCTCTAAGCCCCCTGTCGTCATGGGTCAGCTGTGCATTAAAGAATGTGCACAGTATGGTACTTGAGTTTGCAGTTTCACGTAGGCAGTGAGACACATACACAAATAAGTTAAATGATATAAAAGAAGTACAAAAGTGTTAGGGACTTGAAGCACTCTATTGCCCTATTTATTCTTGAAGGCAGGGTTTCCTAACTGTGCACCTGAAGAAAATGATAATATTTACAAAGCATTCTGCCCTGTTCGAGCTTGCTCAAGGCCAGAGATAACTAGCCTGAAGCCTCCGACCCACTCTGGGACTAAAGAGATATACACCCCACTGGTGGCACCCAGAGGTTGCACACAGGTAGCTTTGAGGGATCATTCTGGCTCTCCAGGGGGGGCACTTTTCAGATCCCTTATGTTTGTCATAGTGACTATGTAGAAATATTTTGCAGTCTTTGTTCTTTCTTTTACTTCAGAATCTTATTTCTTCCTTATCTGGAGTAGGAATTGTTGATAGAATCTCCTCTCAAGTGGGTACTCTTATCTGGAGTTGAAATTGTTGATAGAATCTTTTTCAGTTTGGGGAAGTGCCTTACAATTTCTCACAGACTTTCCTTTCATTTTTTGTAAAGGACTGTCCAGCTTTCCGTTGCACAAACAGTGAAGTTACAGTCCAGCCCAGTCCCTATCTGAGTTACCGACTGCCCAAGGACTTTGTGGACCTCTCTACTGGGGAAGATGCTCACAAACTCATCGATTTCCTTAAACTGGTACAGCCTGTGTATACTTAGTATGCTGGTCATCTGTGTTTTTACATTGGCTGTTTAATATTTTATTTCAGTCTTACACTACCTACACTTGTATTTGGTGATTATAAACTAAAGGAGCAGAATTACTGAGTTAGGTCATTTCATAATGAAGAATGTAATGTGAGCTTAAGGAATAATCTATTTAATAATTAGAACAACAAAAATGGTTTTGTGATGTGCGTGCTTTTTGAATAATTTTTAGTACTTCTGATTTTAAGGAAAGTGTGTGTACTGTTACAGGGTGAGCAGGTGTCAGGGCTGTGCCATGGTGACTCAGGGAGAAACTGAGTGTGTGTGTGTGTTTGTGAGTATGTGTGGAACGTTTGTCCATGCAGAAGAGAGAGAAGACTATTCAACGACCTAAGGATAATTTGCTCTGGAATTAAAGTGATCGCGTAGTTGAGTAAATAAGTTCAGGCATGTTTTTGCATGGTGATTTTCTCCCACATCTTTTGCCAAGGCCTCTAGAAAATGATACTTGCTGACAGAACAAGTGATCTTGGCTGAACAAACATGCCAGTTAGAACGTGCTGGTTTAATGTAGTCTTGGTTTCCTTTGACAGAAAAGAAATCAGCAAGAGGATGACTGAATAGAGTGCTAGAGTTCCAGACTGAGTGAAGGAAGAAGCCGCTTCTCCTTCAGGAAGCTGCTCATGGATCACAACTTCGGTTAAACCCCGTCGGATGGGGGTGGGTGGGCAGTGTGGCAATCAGTACCTTTTTATATTCATGTATAGTAAGTTGGGAAAAAACAGAGGCACTTTGCTACTTGTAAAAATAACATAATAAATAGATCTTAAACAGAGGAAACCTTACTGTTCTGATGATAAAATACTTTCTATGAAATACCTTTCTCTTTTGGCTCAGTCTGTTTAGATATTTCTATGTTTCCTGTACTATTTTTATACATATCAGGTAGATGGGCAAATCTATATTTGTTATTCAGAATGAATTCTTTCCTAATCATTCCTTTTCCATTGAAAAAATAGGACCTCCTATTACTGTAGAAAATGTTTTTTCTACTCAGAGGATTTTCATACAATCTTTTTTATCAGCTTAGCTTCAGTTTGGGTGTAGCTAAAAGAATACAGACTTCTCAAACTAAAGTAATCTTGAACATTTCAATATTTTACAACCACCGTAATATACAAGGTGGGGCAAAAGTAGATTTACAGTTGTGAGTATACAAAACAGTTTATTTTTTGCATTATTGTTTATTTATTATTGTATTATTTTCCATACAAACAACTGTAAACCTACTTTTCCCCATCCTGTGTATTGCTAAACTATGACACATTTAATAAGAATTTGGCCTGTTTAAAAAAATTCTGGGCCCTGACTGGTGTGGCTCAGTGTGTTGGGCATCACCCCACAAACTGAAAGGTTGCCAGTTTGATTCCCAGTCAGGGCATGTGCCTGGGTTGCTGCCAAGGTCCCCGCGTGGGGGGCATGTGAGAGACACCAATTGTTGCTCTTGCATATCGATGTTTCTCTTTCTCTTTTTCTCCCTCCCTTCTCTCAAAATAAATTTTAAAACATGTTAAAAAACATACTGGAATTGTTGGGAGGTAGATTCACTCTTTTAGGCCACTATTTTAGTAATTATTCTTCAGTGGCCTAATTAATTGATGATGATAATGGTGATACTGATGATACTGATCCCGTACTAACTCAGCACTGACTGTATACAAGACACTTTGCTCAGTGCTCTTTACCTGTTATTTTACATCACAGCATTTTGAAGAAACAGACCATATCGTTTCTCCAGGTATGTATTTAACATGGTATCAAAGAATATTTCACTAGTTGGAGGGATGTTTCTTAGCACAGGAAACATATGAATGCTGCCCAAGGAAGATGTGGAGAGAGGTGAGGCAGAGCTGCCGCCTTTGTACGGTGAAGTCAGGTTACGTATAGTGACGAAACATATTATTTTTTACTATTTCAAAATTCTAGCTTTCTGTGTGGTATCTCAGTTACAGTCACTTGATATTAGTGTTTTAAATATAAAATACAAAGACCAAGTTCTTCCAACATGTTTTTTTAACTGATCACAGGTGTCTTTTATCTCATAATGGAGGGATTTTGTTTTTCTTTTATTGTGAGTTGATTTAAGCTTAACTCTGGAAACTGGCTTCACCATGACAGTACTTTACAAGTAAAGAAAAAAAAGTAAATATATTGATACCAGCTGAAAAAATTCAGGCTATATATAATAAAAAGAATCAAGCAAAATTTGGCAAATATTTCATAAACAGTATAATTCATGGTGTAAACTCATTAAATTTTTGCATTAATTTTCTTATAGATATTACTAAGTTCAGCACTCACTTTACATTTGAAAGTGATTTTTTTTGTACATCGTTTCACTTACTGTGTTTAATTTTAGCTGATTATCCTGATGTTAATATCAAATATAGGATAATATACAGAAAATATTCTCCTCAATTCATATACCATTTGTGACTGTCTGAAGATTAGTTTTGAATGATCCTTTTATTTTATTGGCATTATCTGTTCTTTCTTTGAAGTGCTACAGGTTTGTGCTGAATTTTGCTGTGTTATTCCTTTGCTTGTTCCTCAAATCCTATCTTCGGAAGAGAAGACATTTCGCCTGGTGATCTGACAGATTGGAACGAGCATGTTTCCTTTGCACCGCAGGCAGTCGTGTGCAGCACGGGCTCTGGGTACAATGGACTTTGCCCAAAACTTCTGCTTTAAAAAGCTTCACTTTCGTGAGCATTTTCTGTCTACTCAGCTATCTCTTCTCTTGGTAATTGAGGATTGTGTCTGAAAAACAGACGCTATATGGCTGTTCTTTGAGCTTAAGTTTGTTTTCCTACCTATAAAGTGGGAGAACAATAATCATTAGTACATGAATCTATTAAAGGAAATAACTGTGTAAATCTTTTCATATAGTGCATCACACATAAGGAGCCCCCAACAGTGGTGGCTGTTGTTAACATTTTGCTTTGCAGACCTGTGCGTATTTATTAAAGGCAAGGTCTTACCAGAATCAAAGAAATTTTGAGTGGGAAGGGCCAGTGTCTTTTTCTTATCATCTCCCTTCTGATCTCCCTCCCTCCCTTCCTCCCTTCTTTCCTTTCTTCCATTTCTTCTTGGTTTTTTTTTTTTTTTTTTTTTTTAACACAGGAGAAAACTGTTGACAAGAGGAGTTAAGACTTGTCTATAACCAAGATTAGAATCAGAACCACAAAAGAACTTTTAGTCTAATGATTTTCTCTAAGGGTTTTTAGCCTAGAATTTTTTACAGCTGTTTCAATCAGGACAAATTATCATTTTAATAACACAATTTTCAAAGCAGAATTTTTAAATAAAAGTATAAATTCATGGCCCTGGCTGGCGTGGCTCAGTGGACAGAGTGCCAGCCTACAAACTGAAAAGGATGCCTGTTAGATTCCCAGTCAGGGCACATGCCTGGGTTGCAGGCCAGGTTCCCAGTGGGGGGTGCACAAGAGGCAACCACATACTTCTCTTCCTCTCTCTCCTTTCCCCTCAAATAAATAAATTTAAAATGTTTTAAAGGAAAAGTGTAAATTCATGTCACACATTTGTAGGTAGAGTAAGTATAAAAAGTAAATAGAGAAGTGAAAAATAACTCTTTGAAAGATTAATTCATGTTTATATTAACAGAAGTTTGTTTAAACAAGACACTTGCCTTGACTGGTGTGGCTTAGTGGACTGAGCATTGTACCTCAAACCAAAAAGTTGCTGGTTTGATTCCCAGTCAGGGCGCATGCCTGCATGACAGGCCAAGTCCCTAGTTGCAGGGCTTGTGAGAGGCAACTGATTCATGTTTCCCTCGTTCTCCTTTCCTTTCTCCCTCTCCAAAAATAAAGTCTTAAAAACACACACACATGTAAGACACTTGATTTAAAAGGAAAACTGTCTTAAGATTAATTTTTATCCTCGCCTAAAGACAGGTTGCCTTACATATAACAACCATGGACAAAAAAGTTTCCAATTGTCCTCGGTTTCACAATGACAAATGAAAAGATTTAAACTCACCAATTGAGCAAGATATGCAAGGATTTCTATATTCCTATTTTGTTGAACAGTGAGAAGAGAATAACTTACTGGAATATAAAAGAGCTGAATACCCCTGGCTGGTGTAGCTCAGTGGATTGAGTGTGGGTCTAGGAACCAAACAACCGAGGTTCGATTCCCAGGACACATGCCTGGGTTGCAGGCCAGTTCCCAGTAGAGGACGCATGAGAGGCAACCATACATTGATATCTCCCTCCCTCTCTCCTCCCCTTCCCCCTAAAGACAAATAAGTAAAATCTTTTTAAAAATTAAAAAAATAAAAGGGCTGAATGAGCTTCAAGTGATGGAGAAAAGAAGTATTTTCACAAAACCTGCAGTTTTCCCCATCGTCTCTCCACTTGCTGCTGTTCAAAATATTTGGTTAAAAAACTGCAAATGTTCGTGCAAGCATATCAGTTACTTTACATACAGTAAAGGAATGGGGAAGATGAAAGAGAAAACTGCACAGTAGTCCAGGACGATGACAGAATTTGGTGGTGGAACCAAATTTTTCTAGTTGAGACTGTCTTCTTGCTCTGTAGGAACAGTTCTGGAGTAGAGCAGCAGGTTCCGTTCTGGTGGACGCCTCCTGTCTGTTGCTGGAGCACAGCCGCTGTATCCGCAGCCTCCATTTCCAGCTCTGCAGGGGTGTCTTTTTCATTGATTGGCTGCCCGTCAAATTGGAAGCCGATCTGCCTCATTGACAAAACCTGTCGTTCACAATCACCTTTTATTAGCTTACTGAATGATGTATGTTTCTTAATCTTAGACTGCACCACAGAGCCGTCCTGCCCCACCACCTTCAAATTAATTGTCCTGTTTCGACTCTTTTGGGCTTTTCATCGGCGGTGGCAAGTGCTGGTCTCTGCAGGTGGTGCTTCACTAAACAGGTACCACGTCTGCACCTAATGAGCCCAGTTTTAGATATTTGAAAGATAAAATTCTTATTTAACTTACTGTTTTAGTCACACAGTGTTGGCTCAGAAAACAGTTTCAGTAAGTATGCTAAGAAAATAAATAATGATGAACTTCCCACTCACAAAGCAAGTATATTATGTGTGCACATCAAGAAGAGGCTTGAGGAGTAGGAATATAGGACCGAGTGGCCACTAAGGTTGATGAAATAGCTCAAGCCTCAGGTTAGGGGGTTGTAATGCAGTGAGTCTGGCAGTAATTACCTGAAGATAGAATATATTCAAATGTTCTGTGACGGAAAACTGACGGGACGATGAGGTAAGAATGCTGCTGCAAACTTCCGGCCAAGATGGAGCCGTGGGCAGACACTGCCTACTCGCACAACCAAAATAAGGACAACAAAGGTTTAGAAACAAAATAACAACCAGAACTGACAGAAAATTGAACTCTATGGAAGTCGGACAACCAAGGAGATAAAATAGACATGTTCATCCAGACTGGTAAGCGGGGCAGAGTCGGGCAGCCAGATGGAGAGGGGTCATGGCACAAAAAGCAGTGGCAGCGGGCACGAAAGGCACCTTGGGCGCGCAAGGTGGCAGCGGGCGGACCCTGGGCGTGCAGGGGGTGGCTGGCGGACCCTGGGTGCGGGGTGGCAATGGGCAGACCAGCAAGGCTGCAATTGTGAAGTGAGGCACTCTGTGTAAGGCAGCTGACCAGGCGGTCCCACATTTCCACGCAGATAAACCAGGTGAAATTGGGGAGTGAGACCATGCAACCCAGGGTCCCAGGGTGGGGAAATAAAGCCTCAAAACACCAACTGAAAACACCTTTCGGGGTCGAGGCTCAGGGAGACACTCCTAGCCTCACAGGAGAGTTCGTCGGAGAG